TGGCCATGGTAAGGTGGTCGTGCCAGAAAACAGCCTGTCCCCTTCACAACTCCTTCTAAAAAATTTTATTTTGTAATTTTTTTTGGACACATGCTAGTGCAGGACAACAAATTCTCTTCAAATAGTGCCAGTTTGTCAGGTTTGGTGCTGCAAATGGGTGATTCTTCTGTTATTCAAATATTTCCACATGCTCTTAAGGGAATGCAGAGCTGGACTGTGGTAGATGAATGAGAGTTGTAGGATCTGGTCCCTCCACTTTTTTGAGTTTTTCTCTTCTCTTTGCGTTAGAGAAGGTGGCATTGAATTATTAAACTTGAAGAATGCAAGGGAAAACAGATATTGAAGTCTCAAAGAAACAGTAGGCTCGTGAATTTAATTTATAATAGTTAGAGTACACGCAAAGTGAGTGTCATAGTGGGGTTTTGTGCCTTATGTATTTATGGTGGCGCAAAGGAAAGAAACACCTATTTCAGGGTGGGTTTTTGCTACATAGGACACCCGACTCATTCTTCTCAATCCATGTTCACAAGAGATTCCCAGAAACAGTGTGGGAGCTATTACAATGAAAAAGGTACAGCCTCCATCATTTCATTAGCAACAGATATCGTTGGAGTCCAATGAGGGGAGGGAAGTTTAAAAAGTTTACAAACACCACTTGGAAAAAGGTAGCTGCTCTCAAGAAAATTTAAATTATTTTTAAATATTGGAGCCTTTGAAAAACTATATGGTAGTTTTTAGTAGACAAGATGCACCTGTAATTTTATTTAAATAAAGTTGATTTATTCATGTAAGATGTCTGTCATGTTTTCAGGGGAAAAAATATAACCATTTATGGCACCGGATGGGGTGGGATATACAGGTTACTCTCATAACCCACCCAGACATTTGAACAAGTTGCACTTGAATTCAAGAAAGGTCAGTACTACCTTGTCATTAGAAACTGTGATATTTGTTCTGTATTCTGTAAATAAATACTTTTTTCCTTGTAACTAAACATAGCTTGAACTAAGAGCAAATATGACAGCAAAGAATTTAAATCCTAAGGTTCATCACCCTTAAAACTGAGGCACTAGAAAACTTCAGTGTATCTGGTACCTTAATGCCCTCCTGCTACGTTTCAGTTCCTCTGAACTACAGCAGTTGGGGTGGAAATTACTGGTACAAAAATTGGTGGAAGAAAACAGAAGAGTTTTTTATCCAAAAAGCCCTTTAGCATATACAGTAGTTGAAGCAAGCCTGACTCCCAAGGACTGTGCAACAACAGCACATCTGTTAAAAGGGAGAAAGACAACTGGAAAACTGCTGGAAAATTTGTCCTTGTAATCTATTCTAGGTACAATATGTGCCTGCTCAAAATATGTGGGAGTAAAAAGCCTAATATTTGTCAAGTAAGTCATAACTTGTCCTCAGATGACTTTTTGGAACAGTAATTTCTATCTGTTTGCTAGGTATTTGTTGCAGTTCATGGATTTCTATATTTGATACACTTTTTAGAATGAAAATAAGTTTAAAAAAGTAGTTGAAAAACATCATTATAAATACTACAGTATTACTACTTTGCAATTTGGTTTGGAAAGAAAGCTCTTACATATAGACCACTGCCAAAATATTCTGCCAGAGATGGCACCTAAGAGGTCAATATCACAGTAAGGGCATGAAATTGGAGCAGAAATGGTTACTTCTACATGCTGTAGTTACCAGCCATTGAGTCCCTGAGGAGGACAAAAAAGAAATAGAAAACAGACTGCAGTTCTATACAACTGAATAGCAATTAAGCACAAGAAATCACTCCCAGCACTCTAAGAGTATGGGAGGGGCAGTTGTGTTCATGGTATACAGCATTCCAGTCTGCCTCCAGCGTCATTTGCCAGTGGCAAGGTTCTCAGGAACACGCTGGATTTTTATGTCTCCTGTGCATCAGTCCCAGAAAGGGCAATGCCAATTTCCCGCTCCAAACAGGAATGACAGCAGGAGTGAAAGCTTGCATTGCTGTGCTGGAATTTTACTGGTTTGTGACTCTGACTCAGCCAGATGCAGTTGACACATAAAAAAAGTCAGAGATGGTGTTTACTGCTGGCACAGCACTTTGTGCATGCCTGAAAACAAAAAAAAAAGGTAATAAGAAACATCTGGCTCTAATTAAGGCTTAAAAGAAATGGAGGAAAGCAGAAGAAATATATCCAGTCACTCAAGAGTGGTTTTATCTTCCTGCAGCTGCATCACATATACACATTTGTAAGTATTAAGGTTTCCCTTCAGTTTGATTAGTCTATTATATAAACACGGTTTAATATTTTCATACATAAAAGTGCACTAACTTTAAAAATGTTTTTATTGATTTGTGTTGGTTTTGCCATCTGGTTTCTTATGCCATTTCCCCCCCTAATTTTTATATAAAACGTTAATGCAAAGTTAGAAGTTCACAATCTTTTTTCTCACAATCCTACTTCAACTTCCCAGTTAACAAACTGTCTTCCATTTGCAAACCTGGGCTTGCAAACAAAGGGTTTGGACTTACAGTATTTCATATCTCTAAACACAACATACTAGTCAAAGACATCCGTTATGACAGCTATGAAAAGGAAAGAAGCAGGGATGTTCTTTCCATTGAACAGAAACAGCAATGTAAGTAACCATGAGAATTAATTCCTATTTCTTTCCTATTTCGTCATTTAAAAATATCTGCAATCATCTAGCAGCATTTCTATTAGCAAATGACTCAGACCTGTGATTCAGAAGCTGGGTATGCTTTTAATATATTGCAAACCTCAGACTTAGCTTAGATAAGCTTATGGATGTAACCTAACTTAGTGTCACTGAACTACTCTGTGACTCAGTTCCCCCATCTGCAAGATCCAAATTACACTTTGGTTCTGCTTTGTCTGTACTAGTTCTGCTCAGGGATGAGCATCTTCCCGTGTGTCTCTTAGATTCGGTTTTACATTCTTGTCCCTTTCAACCACAGAAAAACAAACATTTAACTGTTTATGGTGAGAGGTAGTAAAGCAATTAACATGTGCAAGGGTCCCAAGCATTCTTTGTGAGCAGGACAAGGAGGAGACGTTCTCTTCAGCTAAGCATTGCTGTTTTGCACAGTTTGACGGCAGTGAGATAGCTGGGCCATACAACCATCACTTCGTTGAGTTAAAGGCTCAAAGGGCCCCTCAATGGCTGGGAAAAGGCTCAAATGGCCCCTTGATGGCCAGGAGACAGCTGCATCCTCCCACCCTCAGACTTCCACTCATCAGCTGGGTGTCACAGTCCCTGTGCCCTCCTTGTGCATCTGTGCTGATCCCAGCACGGAGGATATTTTCCCTTCTCTGTTTTCCATGCTAATGAGAATAACATAGAGAAAGGAAATATCTAGGGCAAGAGGCAAACTCGTAACACAAGGGCTACCACAGAGAGGCAGGCAGACCCACAGCTGGACAGAGCTGCGCCCGGAGGGACAGCAGGCAGCCTTGTCCCACCTGGAGGTTTGTCCCAGTAGTTGCACAGCCTGTCTTTAACTAAAACCTCTGTGAGCAGACACTTAAGACATTTGGCTGTCTGAAGAAGCTTATTAACAATTTTGGAGCTCCCATTTGTAAAAGTAATCTAATTATTTCAGCATTTCCTCAGTCTTTCCTTAGGTGCTTTCTTCAATATGGAATGTCTCGATCACTAAACATTAGATGTGTTTTTCTATTTTCTGTATGAGTTTCTTTGAATATGAGCATGAGTATTATTATTAATACCTCACAGATTGCCACCAGGAAGATTTAATGCATAACTTATCTTACTTATCTTTACTCTTGATAAGAAGAAAAATCATCATAACAATCTGTAATGTGTTAAAGAAACAGTAGTATCTAGTAGTATTAATAGCAGTATTTGGAGTATTAGTGTCTAGACCATTGGGCCACATCCCAAGAGACCTGAGCCTTTTCTTTTGACTGCATTTCCATACATCTTTGGCATGTCACATCAGATTTTTGAGCCTTGTTTTTTAAACTGAGATGGAATTGCTTCAGTAATTAAAAAAAGCCAAACAAACCTCCTTTCCTCACTAATGAAAAACACCATGTAAAAACAAGGTACTGTCCCTACTCACACATGGGGAATTAATCCACTGATTGCTGATGACAAAAAAGACAGTGTTTATTCCAACTCTTTCTTAAAATAACTCTATTTTCTTTACTTGGACTGTGATATCATGTCTTAGCTTTGAAGTTGTCAGCCGGATACACACTAGTATGCAGAAAAAGATGCTGATTTTGGCAGCTCTGGTGGTATAACTTTTCTTTCCCCTTCACATTTTACTTTTGCCTTTTACCCATTTTCTTTTGCTTCCCCGCTCTCTTCTGAATGAATCAGAAGACACGGATTTTATTCCCAGGTGTGCCATGCAGATTTTTTCCCCAGTTGTGCCACTGCGTCTGATTGACCATATATAACCATATATAACACTGGAAGCGCGCAGAGGGGATGCAACAAGGCTCTGCACCGCCTGTTCAAATTATGTAATATGGAAATGCCTTATACTGTCCTGAAAGTGTGTGCCAAGTGCCTGACCTGGGGCAGTCCTAATAGAGACAGCATTTCCACCTCCTTTCAGCACCAAGAGGAACATTTCTGCAGAGGAGAGACCTTTTTCTCACCCTCCAACAGCATCCTCCCTGGGTCCTGCATGGCCACTCTGCTGCAGAGCCTGGTGGTTATGGCTGTGCTAGCAAATGAACCGAGGCCAAAAGGGACTAATCCCTGTGTGCTAGCTCCAGAAACAGTGCCTGGTTCGATTTCATCTGGTGCCAGCCAACACCCCTCCCCAGAGTATATGCAGGCCTGGTTTGAGTCAGTTCCCAGGAGGTAATACACGCACATGCCAAAACTTTTTTTTCCTAGGTGGAATAGAAAAGGTCAAAGTTTTATCAGTAGACAAGCAGTTAATGGTTTATCCATCACAAGATTATGAATGTATATTACCATTTCATAGCATAGCAGACAGTCTGCTCCACAACATGCCTTCCGTCCACTGGGACAGAATATTTGTTGGAATTACGTGTTGTGACTGTGACCCTTTGGGCACTGTGTATTTGGCAGCTCCTCAGGTTTAAAGCAGGTAAGAAACATAATTCTACCCTATTTGAACTCTTTGGGTTTTTCTTCCTTTCCTTAAATATTTAAATGTAATTGCTGACAAACATTATTATATCCATGTTGCATGCTTCTCAGGTGCAAACATTTTTCTTCTTACACTGATGTTTAATGAGATACCCCAAATTTTGCATGCTGTTGTAAAACTGAACAGGACGACAAGCAATCTCAGGAGTGTTTCCCTTGCAACATCTGTACACTGATTATGAATCCTCTGATATAACTTTGAGAAATGTCTTGAAATTTTCTCACTTTTCTGGTAGAAATTTGATTTATTTTTAAAAAGACAAAAATAAACTTCTATCTAGCCTAATAATTGCATTTTAAAGTGGAAATATTTCACTTCGCATATGCTTATATGTTTGCATGCATATAAGCAAGACATGCTGTACAGCACCTGTTCATGTTTTCATTGTGACTTGCATTACAGAAAAAATTATTAAAAGAATATTGGAGATTTGCATAGTCTATATCTGAAAATCAGGTCAATGCAGCCTTGTAAAACACTTACATGTGCAAACTTGGAGCAGAAAACTGGTCAGTGTTTCCTCTTAGCAAAATACTCAATTTCTGTGACATAAAATTTTGCATGGACCTACATTCAAAATTCATAGAAAGAATCCAATACTCCTGGCTGCTTGTCCAGCAGAGAGTCAGATATGATTTGAGACCAAGAAACCTAAAAAAAAGTTTATATAAGGATACATTAGGTTAAATTTACTTCAAGAGACTTTTCAGATGTTTGTAGGGTTTGAACATACCCAAGTCCAAGAAGGGACACAAAAGTAAACAGTGATTATTTGACATACGTCATTAATAATCTACCTTAGCTAATGTAAGTATATGCTCAGAGCTTTGTTTGAATTGATGGAGCTAAACACAGATGAGATGGGAGTTAACTCTCAGTGCAGCGTGGGGATACTTCTGCTTATGCTTAACATCTACACAACTGCAAGCAAAAACTGCAGCTACTTCAGGGCTGGAGAACACTTCCTTGCCTCTCTGATGCATTGCTTGCTGTGCATAGTGGTAGTGTTTCTTTATTCAGACTTTAACCACAAGTATTAGCATCAACAATGAACTCATGGTAACATAGTATTATGCAAAAATTGTTTAGTTTTAGTTTAGAAATATATATGGTCAAAAATCAATGGATTCTTGAGATGAATAATGTCTGCAAAATTTAAAAGACAAAGGCAAAGAAGATGTTCTCTGAATCTTAAAATAAAGCCAGGAGAACCCTGTGATTTTAAGCTAATGCCACAATTACTGGAGCCTGATGAGTTTTACTGTGTATGTAGTAGATGTGACTGCATTAGTCAACTCAGGAATTTATGTTCATGAAGGACACAGATTCTCTCTGGGAAAAAAAAAAGGCTACATGAGACTTTGAATAGTAGGCTAAGAAAAGTTACCAGGAAGCACAGCTTCAACTAGGATTAACAGATCCTACGAGTGTCACCTTGTTACAGAGGGCCTCTTTCAGGGAAGGCAAAGATAAGGCTGATGCCCTTTGCTGTCACCTGCCCTTTGGTGCACGGGCCTCATGGCAGCTGTGTCTGCACCTTCAGGGGTAAACATAGGGCTTTTTACCCCGCATCTACCTGCTTTTCTGTTCTGCTTCTTTCAAAGAAGTGTCATTCCTGTCTTCCTTTTTATGTTTCCCTTTCCTTACACTCCTTTGAAGCCCGTGACTAACAGTTCCAAAGCCAGACCCCTGCCCCCAGCCCAGCTGTGGAAGCATTGCCACCACTGCTCTCACCTGAGGCTGCCCCAGCCATCTGCTGCGGCTCCTCAGCAGGCAGCCCAGGGCTCAGGTGTTTTCAGGGCAGCCTTCCTGGTTTCGGGATCTTCTGTGCCAGATTACCCAGCTGTCTCCCTGGCTGCTTTGGGTAGGCGCTCACTGAGCAAGACAGAGGCTCGGGGCTGTGCTGCAGCTTCCCCTGTATCCTGTGGGTTCCCAGGCTCCCAATCCAAAGCAGTGTCAGTCCTATGCCATATGGCCCCATGTGCCATGTGCCTGTGCCTGGCAAGTGAGACAGTGCTGCTGAGCAGTGGGGCAGCACTGCTCAACCAGGCACCAGCTCCCACAGAGACAAATGTTCTCCACAGCTGCTTAGTTGGGTGACCCAGATCTCAATTGCTGGAGGAGTTTTCTGTAAGATTTCCAGTGGAGATCCAGTGTGTTTTGAAAAGCTGATGGGTAATACGGACATTACCTAACGACATTTAGATGTTATTCCACTATCATCACACACATCTGGCTGCAATGTAGCTGAGACAGCCTGAAACACAATTGCTACATAGCAGCAACATGAGCAAAAGCTGAACAATGTGTGCCAAGAACAGAATTACCCCCGCCACGTGGCACAGCCCCTATAGTTTGCAATAATCTTCCAGTTCTATGAATGCCATTAAAGAGTAAGAAGTTAGGCAATCTTTTTAGTTCAGTGACAACATTAGAAATATACAATGGCACATGTTCCTGGCAGTGCTATTTACTTTTGAGTTTTCTGGCTTTGCTCAGCTTGTCAGCATCTCCAAACACAGGCATTAAAATGTCAGATCAAATAGATCAAATGGCAGTCCTCAACTCCAGTTTTCTGCATTATTTCCAAGGCATACACTGCAGCCAGGACACAGGTGGGCAATATCCACTGTGAACATTATCGAAAGGGACTCCAACTCCATCCTTCACTTAGAAACCAGGTGAGATTGACTGTGAAGTCTCTGGAGATACCCCAGATCTTGGATCCATGTTTCAGAGCCTGAGGTCCACCAATCCCTTCCCTACCGAAATTTCTGCTGCAGAATACCCCCTAACCATTCAAGATTTCCAGTCTCTTTTAAAAAATCTTAACATTTTCAGAGCTTGATGAACACAACAAATACCATAATATATTCAGAAATTTCTAAGATTTGCAATTTCCCTGATATTGCTTAGACTGTGCTTTTTTGTTTCCTGAAGCTGCAGCATCATGTGCAATGACTACTTTGAACAACACTTACTATTTCTGCCAAAAGACGGAATAAAAATCATCATACATTCTGGTGGGTGGATAGAGGCTATGGCTGAGACTGGGGCATGGCTGGAGCTTCGATGCAAAAGAACTTGAGAAACCTGAAGATCACTCCAGCAGAAAACTCACAGTGTTCAACAAGAATAAGTGCCGATCTCTGTGCATTGGACTGCACATTGGTACAGACCAGGAACTTGCTGGCTGAGGAGCAGGCCTGCTGGAAGCTACCTGGGAGTGATGATGGATGCCAAGTTCAGTATGAGCCAAGAGCACATGGTTCATTGCCAAGGCAGAAGAGCAGCTATGTTATGTGGAGGCAGACAGGTCGATGGACACTATTACTCTTCCCTTCCTGGCACTGGTGAGGCATCACTGGGAAATAGGTGTTTTGTTTTGCCACCTGTAACACAGATTAACCAGACTTAGGGAAGCAGGAGAGGGTCCAACAGGATGTGGTGAGGACAGTGAGGGGGCCTCAGACAGGGGGCATGCAGGGAGCACTGAAGAGAGCTGGGCTTGTTCACTGTGCTGAAGAGGAGGCTGAGGGCAGAGCTAAAAGCAATCTTCAGCTGAGTGGGAGTTGCAAAGACCAATCCTTCTCAGTAACACCAGAAGGAAAGCAAGAGGCAACAGTCATAAACTGCAGTTTGGGATGGCTGAGATTGAGCATGAAGAGAAATGCTTTGGTTTAAAAAGGTAGCGTGTCGCTGCAACATCACTGCAACACTGCAACATGAGGATGTGGAGCCTCTGTTTGGCCTAGATGTCCTCCAGAGCTTCCTTCCACCCCACATTTTTAACACCTTGTCCTGCTAACCACCTTCTGGCAAGCAAGGGTCAGATATGGTGCTATAAGGCAGACCTCATCTTTGCAGTGTCATGCATCCTTATTGTTCATAATAATTTTTGTAGAAGGAAAGTGTCATTGTATCATGGGGAAACTGAGACCCTACAGAAAATGATACAGAAAGTTATGTGAGTTAGCAAAGAAGCCTGTGCCAGAATATGGAGAACATCCAGGTGTTCTAAGCTCCCCTCAGGACCCTGACCATAAATATGCTTCTTTGAGTCAGTCCTGCTAATGGGACACAGTCAGCTGAAATGTTGTCTGAATCAGCAAACATTAGTAAAACCAAGATGTTGCAAGTTATAAGATAAAGCAAAAATTTTCCGCCTGTGTGCTGCAATATTTTCTCCAAGTGTTTGTAGTTTCACAAGGTAAATTTGTGCTCTGTTACAGCAATATGGTATGACTTGAGATTGTAATAGGCTGCTGTACTGGGTCAGGCCATGGGTCCAACTGAGCACATCATCCTGCCTTTAAATGTAGGCAGTACTGTGTGCCTAGACAAGGTGTAGGGTTTGGGGTGGTCAACCTGTCCCATTCCAGCAGCCAGCAGGACAGCGACTTCCTGAACCAAAAGCCCCATCTGGCCCATCGTGGTTCAGAGTCACCAGACAACTGTTCCCCACCAATTGTCCAAGCCCCATTTGAAGCAAACGTGTATCTTTGCCACCTGCTGTGTTCTGTGGCAGTAGGTTACCAAATCTGGTTTCTGCCTGGGTATCAAGACACTGAAAGTGAAGCTTTATAATATTTGACAAATTTTCTAGGACCAAAGCAGTGAAAATAGGAGAGATGGCAAAGAGGATGGACTTTTAAGATTTCACTGACTTCATAAATATCACTTGTGGCAGCTTAGCAGCTTGGGTTTAGGCAGGATTTACCCAACTGCTTTTATTTAATTTAGGGCAAAAGATTCAATGAGCTTCTATTGTCTCAACACTCCCTAATTTTTGAAAACTGATCCTTGTGCTAGAAATTTTTCATCTGGATATATGTTACTTTTTCTTTCTGTGCAGTTAATTTTTGTGATGACAGTACTAGCACAGTGAACATTTCTGAAAGCAATATAAAACCCCTTACTTTTGAACGGATCATAGTGGGTAAGTATGGCAACTCCAAATTAAAATGTGAACCTGATGCTGTGAATGGTATGCATTTCTTTCCTTTTGCTTCTAGTTCCTAAAAGTGAATGTAAAGGTTGTGAAAGATGTTGGATTATCAGACAAGATGCAAAGTCTGTGTTTCAAGCCAGAATTGCATAGCTTAGGCAGCAGGAACACGAACTTTCCCACACAACTTTCTACCCCAAATGCAGAGAACTTAAAGTACACAGGCTGAGTCAGATCCATGCCTGACTGGGGCTGGGCTGAAGGTCAGTTAGTATCTGCCCCTGAACAGCCTTTTGATAGGAAAACAATCTGTTTATATCCTACTATTTACAATTAGGATTCAGGATGCTTTATATCAACTGTGGTTCCATGAACTGTCTCAGCTTTCAGAGACGTTGTAGAGGAGTAAGTGTTGCACGGCTGCTCCATGTGCCCTTTGCATTTCTTTCATAACATGTAAATTATGCTTTTCAAGACATGTTAAAATCTCTTTCTGATATTTCAGTGCTGATGCTGGTGTCTCCCATTTAGAAGATGTGTTTCTGCAGCTCTAGCATAACTAAACTTGTCTGATTTCAACATAAAGAATGTCAGCCACTCTGACAAGACTGTGTATATGAATGTAAAACACATATTCTAAAGAGAACAACAACTAGTTAAATAATTGATGGTCAATCGAGAGACAAATTTTCACAAGCAAGCAGAAAATAACCCTGGATAGGGTGTCACACCCACAGTACAGTTTTGATTCCCAATGAGGTCATGTGCATGTGCAAGTTCCTCTGTACTAAATGTGTTTCTTCCTGCTTTTACAAAATTACAGGTAATGCTTCAATAAAAATCCAGATGTGCTCCAGAGAAGGGAAAAATCCTACTTTAAAGCCCCACCAAATTCTGAATTGTAATGAAAATCTGGACTCCTTAGTATCACAGGTAATATTAAATTACTATTTAAACAGTGTCTGAGATTCTGCATCATCCCAGGGGACAAAAAAGAGGGGGGATAGGAAATTGAGGCAAGAAATATATATGTTATGTTTCTTAAGACTTAGCAGAAAGCAAAATAATTGATCAAAGCCTTTTTCAGTGGCATTCTTGGCATGTGTCCGCTTTGCAAATGGCCTGAATTTCCAATGGTGATTATTTTATTTTGCTTGGGTTTGTCTGAACACAGCATCCCATTCCATATTTCTTAACTGGCCTGCAATTTCCTCAGTCAGGTTCCCAGTTCATAGCAATTGCCTCTGAATGGAGGTGATGCTGACTCAGGATGCCAAATCTGTAAGAATGTGCAAGGGATTTGGAGGAGACTGGCATGAGAGTGAGACTGACACCAACACGTTCAGATGGATTAAGAGTGAAGCCTTTCCATTCAGCTCTATGAGCAGCTGAACACGGATAGAACATTTCTGCCCTTCAAGAATTCAAATTTAAACTCTCTTGTATGAATGCCTTACATAAAATCCATAAATCCATAAACCCCTAAGCCTTGCTCAAAGATTTAGCTGTGCCATATCTGCAAAACATGGAGAGCTGAACATGACTAAGCACATTACAGTGACTGCTTCTCTTCTTCTGCTTCTGTGTTTCATTTCCTTATCACTAGTCCCAATTGGAAAAAAAAATACCCCCCCTCCCCCTCAGCTACAGTCCTTTTAAGTAAAAGAAGTCCCTTTCCTTGTGCATTTTTGCTTGACTACTGTACCTTCAACCCAATGCTTCACCTGCTTCGATCCTTTGCTGGGAGACCCTCAAGCTCAATATTACATTTTTTGCAGTACATAGCCTTAACTAAATGGTTCAAACTCATATATAACATTAGCAGTAGCTATTTCTAATACCAGTAAGTTACAACATAAGGTTATTCTTCTGCCATCAGTAATATGGGGTTTTACTGGGAGCCGTAATGTCGGGCTGCCATCTAGTGAGCCGAGGGCCGCTTGAGGAGCTAGGGAATGGGAGAAGGAGGTGTTCATGCCAGTGATCCAGAGCCAAGGTTTAAAAGGATTGATTCTTTTTAAACAGAAATATTTACTTTGAGTCAGAGGTCATGCTAAAAGTCAGAACAGTGAAAACAGGTGTTCATGATGCACTGTTTGTTTGTGATGCATATGCAGATGTTTTCAAGTCAAACAATATAATCTGCAGTAACTATAAGTGCAAATTTCCTTCCTCCCCATGCAACACATTCACCTTTATTTTCAACCATTCCAAGCTTTACAAACACGTCAAAACTACATGATTGAATTAATCTTGACAGCTTTCCAACATAAACAATTTGAGAAGAATTCAGTTACTGAAGCTATTCAATTAAACTATTCACTGACAGGATTAGGAAACAGATTACTTGACCTGATGATTAGCAGATTTTCTGTCCCTTTAAATCTTATTGTTATCCAGCTATACCTTCATATATCATATAGCTAATGCCTCATCTTTTTTTGTGTTTAGACTCTTAAGATGCTATAGACATTTACGCTCTACCCATTAAGTGCTAACTAACTAAAACTAGACCAAGCCAGTACTTATAGCAATTCTTATTAGTACCTCCAGCACCGGAACATTTTATTTGGGTTTTTTCCTACATTTATTCCAAGCTGACACTATATATAATATACTGAATTTAGAATAATGTCCTCAGTGCAGGTTACAAACACTGTGTTGAGAGGCACGATTCCTCCAGATGACATTTCTCAAGTCCTTCTGATGGCTTTTCAAAAAATCCTATTCTGGTTATTTAAGGAATAGTGAAAGGTGTACAGAAGTTCACAGACTCAGGATCTCAATGACCTCAAGACAAAGGAGAGGTCCTGCTGCTGCCTGCAGTTACCTCATGGCAAATTGTGGAGAACAATGGGGCCAGGCTGTTCTTCAAGGTATGCAGTTTTAGGATGAATGGCCACAGAGACAAGTGGCAATATGGGAAATTCCAATTAGGTAAGAGAAAATTTTTCCCCTTGACACTGGTCAAACAAACACTTTTCTGAGGGAGGTTGTGGGTATTCAAAGTGAGCCCCTGAGCAGCCTCATCTCATCCACCCCTGGTGGGCTAGGGGACCTCCAGGGCTCCCTTCCAAAACAAGCTACTCCTTGAATTCATGAAATCATTCTCTAGGGAGAATTTGTAAACACCACATACTTGACATGAACATAAACATTTTAGACCACCAATTACTTGTATGTTTTTATTTTGTGTAAGAATGTTGTAGAAGTGGTGACTCTTGTTCCTTTTCCCATTTTCTTTCTGTTCAATGGCATTTTCCTCACAGGTCGAAACTGAAGGCCCCAGCAAGTTTTCAGCTATTGCAAGTAACACTCAAATCCTCACCTTCATGCCAGACCAACTGACCACACAAAACTTCACTGCTGCTGCAAACGTCGCAGTGCAGATTATGGAAAAGCCAAATGTTTCAGAAGACTTTCAGGTGAGACTTCTTAGGACTAAAATAAGACTTGTGTGGCTTTGTGGCTTACTATCTGGGATATCAATTCTGTGCCCCCACCAGGAGAAAAGACGCCGTCTTTCCTCTCAACTATACCTAACATGACAAACAAATGCATTAATTTTGCTATTTAACAGAGTTATTTAAGTGGTCTTGAGTGCATACTTGTGGAACTGGGTCAGTTCTCAGGGCTGAATGCAAATTTGTTTCCTATCGGTTGTTTAGATTTGCATTTATTTGAAATTGTAATATGAGCATCACTTGATGTTTAAGCTAATAATTTAATCCTAACTATCTAAATTAATAAAAGTGTGGCATTTATGAACCCATTGGCACAAAGCTTGTGTTCTCTTAAACGGCTTCCTGTACTTTTTTACTCTACTGTGTGTACTTTGAAGCAATGCTTGTTAAGTGTTCTTACCTTGCCCATCCACCGTGTAGCACATGGGGTGATTTATTTCAATTGCATTTGAATATTGCCTTTTTTTCTGCTTGTCTCTGGCATCTGTGGCAGTAATGGCTACGGTGAGTCAACTCTTGGATGCCAATGAAACAGAATTCATCCACAATAATCTTGTCAACGTTACATCAAGGTAACTTTAGCTCTTGCCATTTCCTTTAGATGTATTTGACTGCATTTTCCCTTCTGTTTCGGGACGAAAGTGGTTCATGAACAAGACAAAATATTTTTAGCATTCAACTCCAACATGCAATATCCAATTTACACCAATATAAACATTGCTGGATTCTTCTGCTTTGGAGAAAGGATGGGGATAGGAAATGCGGAGCACTTCCCACTGGAGAACCAAATCAGAGAGGAAGTTCAGAAACTGAACCTGTAGCTTTACATTAACAAAAAATGGTAGCTTTTGTCCCACTCATTTTTTTGATGCAGCCTCACAAAAACAGTGGAGGAATTTTCTTTGACTGGCAACATCTCACAGCCCAATGTTGCAATCCAGTCTGCTCTACTGAAATTAAGCTCCTCTATGATCCTGTTTTTGGCACAGAGAAGTAAGTCTTGTGTGTTGTTGGATTTACCTGGACACAGCAGTTTGAAACATAAATTCTAACGCATATACTGCTGATTGTTGCAGATACACCACTGGGGAAGTGCCAGTCAACAAAACTAGAAATACAGGAAAATGTTCCTGGGCTTCTTGGTGACCTCAGTACTGAAGTTCAGATACTGTTCAACATTTTAAGTAACAGTAAGTTCTTTCTCCTTTTGAAAATTGTATCTGGGAAATTTTTGAATGAATATTCACTAAAAATCTCCTTTGGGAAAAAAACCCTCAGCCAACATAAACAATTACAAGTTGGTCTTTATGCCTGCTGATGCCATATGGTGGTACAAGAAATGCACATGTCAAATGAGCTGGATAATTTTATTTATAGATGAATGCACACATACACATAATGGCCAGAATGCTTTTGGTGTTTGGGACTTTTTCATTTGTTTTGTTTTCTAAAATTGAGAGTGTAATGAATCTTTGACCGTACCTCTGCAAACATCAAGAACTAATACACACTTACTTTGCCTGAAATCAGAAGACATCAACCATTTCAACTAAAATTACTACTACTGTCAGGTGTCAGCCAGGACATACACATCCTGACACCTCCAAATTGGATTAGCCATTAATGGCACAGGCACTTGGGATATTTCCAGATGTCCACTACTTACTATTTGCAGTGCTCAGAGGATAAATTGGTGTTGACCAGGAGAGAAAAAAAAAAGGTTATAGTTCCTCTGCTTCATTTGCTTCAGAAGTTGAGGGGTGTGGGGCAGCTGAGCTTCAAACGTGCATTTCTATGACATCACAAGAGTTTCAGACTGGGCACCTGAAACCAGCAGACTTGTCCTCAGTCTCTCAGTGTAGTGTCAGCAACGCTGAGACATCACAGCACAAGAGTATAATGAAGGCAAAGTTAGTGGAGCACTTAGACAACATAATGCTGAACATCATTTGAATGCAAGCCTGCAGGGAAATTAATAATTCAATCCTCTCACCAGGGTTAGAAAAGACTTGAAGAGATAAATCAGGTAGCTTCACATTCCCAGCATCGACAATAAAAGAATCACTGAATAGCTCATTATCTAGTCACTGTACATTCTGTTCACTGTTTCAGACAACAATCCTGTGGAAAAACATTGTGATCATGTAATTAGAGCCTTTATCATAATACCAGTATATCATAACACTTCCCTCAAGACAGCTAAATTGAAAGCACAGCTTTTCTTAACCCCCCCCCAACACATTCCTTCAATATTAAGTGCATCTTTTTGTAGATATAAAGCTACATTAGTCTCACTTGATGATCAGATCAGAGAGAGATCAAATCAGTCTCTCTTGATCTTAATTCAAGTATAAAATCAATAACAAAATCCATTATATAATCCAGGATTTTTGCTCCCTCACTCAAGCAACAATTGAGACTAGTGATTTAGATCACTTAGATGAACTCTAATTTGCTAGAAGAGTGCAAAAGAAACGGAGTTCAAAAGTTGGATCTGAAGGCAAAAGTCCAGCCAGCCTCTAACTTCCTCTAACTTATCCTCTAACCTCCCACTAACTGTAAATGTCCCTGGTGTGACTATTTCTCATTTAGTGTTATTAAAAGCCTTGCCATTTGAAGTGTGTGTATATATTGGGATTTAGGATATTATTTTCCTAACTTACCAGTACTTTTCTCCAGAAATGATATTAAGAGAAGGGTATTAATTATTTTCACACTCCACCTCAGCAAAAATTGAAGATGTCTCTTGAGGTTCATGGGAAAGCAGCTCTTCTGTGCTACTCATATGAATTTTAATTAAATATATTAACAAAAATTTCCTGTAAATTCTGAATGTGTGAAACAGCATAGTGTAGGCTTCTTTGAAAGCACCAGCTTCTCTGATATCTGCTATCTGTACCTGCTTTTCTCTTTGCCTTGCAAAGGTTCATCAGACAATGGAAATGTTGGATTTGTCCTGTATCAAAACTACAAACTCATCCAGCCAAGGATTTATCAGAGTTGCAATAGTTTGTCTAAACAAATCATCTCTGGAGACATTGATGGCGAAACAGCGAGCAGTGTTGGAATAGCCTTCGGTCCCAAGGTAAGCCTCTGTATAAAATGCCATGTTCGTTTTGAACCAGCCCATTTTGACAGAGTTTGTAGGATGTATAGGTGACATAAATGAAGGGTGTTTAGAAAATGTGGCATAGAAAACATTTTTCAACTTCTGCATTTAACAGCTGATATTACCAACTCAGTACTGCTAACCTAGGACATTTGCAAGCAAAACAGTATTCCATAAAAAGTTACAGGTATACCAGAGTAGATTTGTCCTAGGGTACATTAATCCTATATCAAGAATGAAAAAACCAGGTACCTGGAGGACAGTTTTTCTCTCCAGGAGACTACCAAAACTTTGGAACACAAGAAAATTCAACAAAACTGTCATGGCCCAATATACGTACCAATATGGGGAGTGTTCATCTTTCATACTATCTTTTAACTCCGGCTTCCAGTTAAAATCATTGTGTGCTTTGTTTCAACTTCCTCCACCAGGGACTGATTCCAGATGTTACTGCTTTCTTGCAGGAAATGCTCTATGTGAGTGTCCATTTGCCAAAAAACCTGAATTTTTAGATAATATGTATTCATGTTTGGCATCGTTTCTCCAGAAAACAGTAGTTGGCCTCTTCTTACAATATTTAACAAAGCTTTTAAGCTCAAGTGCATCCATATTACAGATCATAATCATCACCATGTGTTAAGTATGGATATATATAGTTACATACAGCTAAGTACAGATAAGCGCATGGGAAATGTGTCATTTCTAAGGAAATTACTAAAATAAACTTATAATTGATTTTTTCACTCCTACGATTATTCCTCACTTTTAATTGAACTATCTAATACTGTGAATAGTTGTGTTCACTTCTTATTTGCACTTTAAGCTGCTTTTTGTTCATTAAAATGCAGTTCTAATTGCAGTACCCTGAAGAAGTATGTTGTCCAAAAATGACTGCGTGCTGTTTGATGTATGATTGCATGAGCGCCACTGTGATGCAGGAGGGGAGGGGATGGTTCACAGCATTTATCAGTGTTTGCTTCCTGTTACAGCGTGGATTCAGCTCCGGTTGGCAGTCATGTAATGCTACTGATTTCTGAAAGCTGTTGTTTGATTTAGGCAGAATTCAATTGGCAGTTGTTTAATGCTTAGTCAATGGGAATCTGAATCCGAGTTACCTGAATAATTCACAGAAATGGGTGACTTTGTTGGCAATTTTGGCTGAGAAAGCCACATAAAGTAAGCTCAAAATGCAAAATTATGCTGTTATTGATATCTTTCATGAGGTTTACTGGAAACACATGCATCTCTTAGTAGCTGTCATCTCCCCTTTTAAAATCAAATTGTTGTCAGTACACGCTCTTTGCTGGTGCCTATCTCTTTATGTTTCTGTAGCCACTTTTTCTCCTTGCAATCCCAATCCATAGTACAACACATCTGAACTGCAGCTGCGTGATCATGTCTGTGTCTTTTGGGACTACTCCGTCAATGACTGGAGCACCACCGGCTGTGCAAAAGGAAGAGACCAGTTCTTGAGATGCAGGTGTAATCATACAACTAATTTTGCTGTCCTGATGGTAGTACATGGTACTTTTTTTAATGGGAAGAGTCTCTTTTGGTTTTTTTTCATTTGTTTGGTTGTTTTTAACTATAAGACCAGCATGTTGATATATAGAGGGATAGACACACTGGGCTAGAAGGCACAGGAATGTAAGATGTCCCCAGGTACTTGCTTCTGACCTGTGGCAGATCTGCAAATTGTGACATGCAAGCTGTGCCCAAGCTGCTGGAGAGCCAAATGTATTGGCAAGTCCTGGCTCTGCACCCCTATTGCTGCAGCTGATTGTTAAGTGAGGGTATATCTAAAGTCTAAAGTGGCCTCAGACAAACAGTAGAGTAGCCTGGAATCTGGGCTGGCCGTGGCACTGCCTTGTGCTGGGTAAATAACTCAAAGGATTTAGCATTACCTACTTCCTTTGCTTATATGCTTATAAAAAGCAATTGCTCTGTAAATATTAAGCCTGTTATCATAAAGTTTTATACACTGCTCTCTTGTACTAACAAGACTATTTAGGAATGACTGTCTGTCTCTGACGTTTGTTATTCTTTCAGTATTTATTTCAGCTTTTCTAAACAAAACACACCCTGGATAAAATTACATATCTGTGGTCACTAACTTCAGCAGGGCCAGGATTTCAGAATTTCTTTTTACTTTGTCTTCATAAAATAGCATTTCCATATTTGTACTATTTACTTGTTTCTGTTTTTCCCTTTATCTTATGCATGTCTTTATGGCACAAAGTGACTGCATTATAGAGAAGATTGCCATCTGTTTATGCAAATTCAAGAGTATATTCTGTTCCACCAAATAAATTTACATTTACTTGCTGCTTTATTGTCAATATACAAAGACTGGTTTCAATTAATAATTATCTGTAACATCTTACCTTAGACCGAGAAGCCAAAATTCAGAATGTTCACCAGTATGAAAAGTTAAAGCTGTTTCTTCCAGTCTGTGTCACCTTGCATTTTTCTATGAATAATTTAATCTGCTTTTTCGCTAAATATTTGATTTACATTGTTAAAACTCTTTTTGGCTTTCTTTAAAAGCTTCTCTTGTTTCGAAGTCCAGAATAATTTTGTGTGATCTGAAAATTTTGGCAGTGGCTAGCAACAGTCATAACTTTACTAAACCATTTTTGGTTTTATGTGCAACCAAGAAACACAAACTTCAGAAAGAAATGTATCTCTTCTCATCTGACATATCTGATACAATTTGTTTTCCAGGCCTTTCAGATCAAATATATATATGCAAAGCCTTTGGAGTATATTTCTTATATTGGTCTTGATTTGTCCATGGCTGGCCTGATTACTATCATTTTGTTTCAAATATTCACTAGGTAAGAGGGAAAACATAAAACTGCAAGTACTTTACACTAAGTTACAATACATTGTTCTATATATAGTTTGTGGATACATTTTGAGTTTTCAGTTCACTATCTCACTCAATACTATGCTTTAAAAATGGGTAACAGCATTCCACCACCAGCTTGACCTCCCCTGTACCCTTGTGTTACAATTTCTAAACAATTATCTTTCTTTTAGCCAGTAACTGCTTGTGCTACTGTTTAATTGTGAGTGACTTAATACAAATACGATTGCAACAAATGTCCTTAATGGATGTGCCTGTGATTAATGGTGTCATGTGATTCCCCTTTGAACAAGGAGCAAAGTCATGCCAACAGAGCTGTAGTTATTAGAGATGAATGCATGTTTCTCATCCTACTTGTACTAATGTAGATTTGAGCAATTCCGTCAAGGTCAATGTTTTTAAGACTGTAGGAACTTCCAGACTCTGCCTCTTACGTGCACTTGTTTATAATAATATATATTTATTTACATTATATACAGTTATTTAACTATAATCTTAATTATATATAATTATATAATATATAATTATAATTATACATATATTATATATATAATGCCCAGGGAGGTGGTGGAGTCACTGTCCCTGGAGGTGTTCATTGGACGTAGCACTCAGTGCCATGGTCTAGTTGACATGGTGATGTTGGGTCATAGGTTGGACTCGATGATGTCAGAGATCTTTTCCAGCCTAATTGATTCTGTGATAAGAAGTTTGGAAGTGGATGTTTATTACTCTCTTTGCACTTTGGAGAATGTTTGGGAAATATGTGTTTTATGCTACTTCACTTCTTAACACTGAAGAAAAGGATTTCAAAAAGAGCAGAGTGGAAAAAGGAAAATGCATCCCAAACTGCTTTTAGACAAGGCCCAGTCCTAAAAGTTGCTGGGTATTCTCTGTTCTAGTTGAAATCAGACAAAATTGATGGATTTGGTAAGTTGGCTGAAAGTAATGATGATGCAGTTTTGAAAAAAAGTTGTTGTTTTGGTTTCTGTCTGTATTAAAGTCTGTACTCTCTAGCGTGCTTTTAGTATAAATAGAAATGAGGAAATATTCTACAATTTTTCTTATTTTGCTCTACTTTTTTCTCCCAAACATATTCCTACCAATAGGAAAACTCGAAAGTCATCTGTAACATGGACATTAGCGAGTCTCTGTTTTTAATGCTCATTTTTAACATCATCTTCATCTCTGGAATTGAAAACCATAATGCCAGGAATCACAGCAGTGATACTACCAGCTACCACCAGCAATACCTTCCTTATGATAACACCAGTAACACCTTATTCACTTCTGACACAGTAGATCCTCCCACAGACTCCTGGTGTACAGCTGTGACTGTCCTACTCTGCTATTTTTTCTTGGCAACATTTACGTTGACGGCACTCAGTTCTGCACAATTGTACTTATTGTTGCTTAGAGCCATGAAGCTGCTGCCTGGACATTTCCTTGTAACCATGTCAGTAATCGGATGGGGTAAGATTTAAAGTTGTATGTATGGCAACTCTCACGGTACAGAGTGCAGCCAGGGAAAGTTGTAAAGATACAGGATCAGCAGAGGGCAACTAGAATCAGTGTCTCTCTCTGGTTTAGTGCCATGTGATTTAATAATCTCCTGTTTCTGCTCACACTACTGGTATAAACTGAGCTTGTTTCCATTGTCCCGATACAGCAGTGAAACCCATAGCTTGGTCACTGGCACAGCAGCACAGGTCTGCTGTGTGCAGGAGAAATTTTCACAGTAATCAAGGCATTAAACAATCTATTTCTGCCAACTAAGTAAAAAAATCTTTCAAATATGGTGATTGCATATATGCACTAAACCTCTTAATCTAGATATCTCTGAGGTTCCTTGTGACCTCAGCGAGAGCCTTGAATACATCCAAAAGAAAGGAGTGACTGTCATTATTTGTTGCCTATTATTTATTGCCTATTATTTATTGGGACCCCTGGTGGCCTAGTGGTTAGCATGCAGGACTCTCACTGCTGCGACCCAGGTTCGATTCCTCGGTCTCCCAGGCAGATGGAGCTCGTTAGCCCTGTGAGGCCATCCATCTATGAGAAGGTCACTCTAAACAAACCTACGTCCTGAGGACCTCACTGCCATTGTCCAAGCGTGCTTGGCCCCGGCAGATGAACCTTAGGATTAAAGGGTGGGCTCAGTTCAGCGCAGGCTGTGTCTCACCTAAGAAATCCATTGCGCAGGCTGGAAAGGTGAAAGACCTTTCCCCAAATCTTCGTTCGCGAAGACTGGCCATTATTATATTATTATTTATTAATGACCAAACAACACATTCTAAAGTCAGTACAGCAGTTAGTAGCAACACTGCAAGCTGAAAGGGAACTACTTGGAGAACTGAAGAATGCAGACAGATGCCTGCAATGAAAAGTGAAAATCTCAGCTTCCTTCAAGAAACTCTTGTAATACAGTGCACAGGAACACCTGCCTTTTCCATGTTGTGTATTCAGCATGTGTGGTGTGTTGCTCTGATGGCTCCCACCAAGCAGTTTTCAACCCTCAATGTTTCATTATTATGTTTTGCATTTGCAGACGCAATTCCTCTAAAACATTTAGAATTTGGACTATATGTGCAAGCTGGAAAATGTCCAGCAAAAATTGCCTGTCCACGTGTCACTGTGCTCCAAGTATATTTGCATGACAGCACAGTATTAGGTTCTTCACTGTGTCCCGTGACTAGTTAGTTACACATGTCCAAACAGGATGATTCTGACTCACTGCTTTGTGTATCTGCTTTGAGAACACAGTAAATGCTTGGCAGTCTGGAAGTTCTCTGTTAGGGCTGAAGAAGGAACAGACTTTAGGAAGCATGTTTATTACCCAGATAAAAACTTGTGAATGAGGTTCCTTCCCATGAGATGTGCTGCCTAGTGAACAGGTAGGCAGGAGCTGAGGAAGACAAGAAGTGAAGCAAAGGCATTGAGGAGGCAAACCTGCATAGCCGTGCTTCTTGGAGGGCAAAAGTTATGCTCTGCATCAATCTGGTATGAAATGTAATGGTGCTTGGTGCAAAATTTTCTGAAATTAGTTTCTCACTGCTGACCAGAGGGTAGGATTGCACAGCTGTGATAAGGGATTCAGCCACAGCACAGGAAGGAGTTTGCTCTTTCACCACTGCTGTTGTTGCAGGAAATTGTGTTGAAGGTCTTTAATGGTAAAAGTCAGCACGTCATGGACATGAGCTGTCCTCAGAAAAATAGTGCTCACCACCATCAGTCCTGCCTTTTCTCTAGGCTACAGAAAACCCATTTAACTTAGTGCAAGGCAGGTGAAACACAGCTCTTAAAATCTATGGAATTTAGGAGGCAAGAAGCTATTTGTGTGGAAGGAATGCAACGAAACAATAAGTTGCTAATCTCTTTTATTAATTAGGAATCCCTCCCATAGTAGTTGCAATAACACTCAGAGTTACTTACAGAGGAGGAAAAGCTTAAAACTACCGACAGAAAGAATTGTAAGTTTACATGTTACTACAACACTTGCTATTCCACACCTTTTGGGATGGCTTATTATTAATTCTAGATTTATTGTTGGTATACTACTTTGTATATCTAAGTACCTAAAAGAAATAAAACTATTCGCTCAAGCTACACATTCACTATAAGGAAACATATTTTCTCCTTACTAAGGATTTAAGTTACTGGATCTACAACTTCCTTCAATCCTTCTTCAAGATCCCCTGTGACTTTAAATGCAAGCTGCAGACACTCTTAGCCTAACTGAAATTCAAAACCTTCATTTAAGTGCATAACTACTTAAACTTAATCCTCACATTTATTTGAAATCTGGCCAAAATAACTACATCCCCATTTGCCCTGTGTTTTTGGCATTGGTAATTGAGTGCTGGCATACCAAAGCAGGCTATCAGGCTTCCAGTGTACCTTGGTGACAGTGGATGATACAGAAGAAAGGTAGACTTCTTTCAGAAGTGTAAACAAAAATCACCTTCCAGATGGTGGTTGTTAATGCTACTCATTTAGGGAGTATGGACTTGAGATTATTTGCAAATGACAAAGTACAGAGGTAAAGATTACTACAGAATAACCCTCCCCTCCTGAAATTGTCCCTGTTTTGCTTCAACCTTTGCCCATTAGGTCTCCCCTACTACTCTTTAGCTCTACTATAAAATATACCCTAAAGATAAACCTGCACATGGTGGCCAGATATCTATTTGGATAGTTATATTGCACCTTATTATATTTGTCTATGTAGTTAGTTTGATATATCATTTTGCATTCCCCAGAGAAAGAGAAGCTTGATGGAAAGCCCTCATTTCTCAAGGAATGGCTGCCTTTCAGAGCTCAATTAACAAGACCTAGAAAGCACTAATAGGTCTTCCAAGATGAAAAGTGAAATATTACTTTGTTTTGTTTTGGTATCCTGAATAATGTGTCTAACATACCTTTTGAAATTACCTCTCTTTATATTAAAAGTTGCTGGCTTGCAGCACTGGACCAAAATCAGAATTTTAGTGTGCAAAAGCTGATGTTGTGGTCATTCCTCTTGCCAGCAGCACTCATAGCCCTGTTTAACATCTTGATCTTCATCAAGATCAGTACCTCTGTAATATGCAAGAAGAATGAAAATTTGACAAGGTGAGATGGCAAAGGACTCCTCATATCTTTCAGCAAATATATTCCTCAGTCTCTTATCACCAGCTCAGACTTTCTTGTCACAAATTCAGATTTTTGACAAAATCTTTTATTTTAAAGAAATGTATACTTTAAGCAGGCAGAAAATGAATTCCATTATTGCAATAGGTCAGACTTTGTTCAAGTGTGTATCAATGAACACATTTCAGGCTTTTGCCCCCATTTTCTGATTGCAGTGTCACTTGACTTCAATGACAGTAAACCCCAATTTAAATCCATAAAAGTGAGAGCAGAGCTGGGTCCAGCCAAATGGGAATTATGACTTTCCCAGCACAGCTGAATGCCAGGCCAGTTCTCTAGCACCTTGAAGAAGATTTACTTGCTCCGTTTTACACCAACACTCCATGTATTGTCACAGGCTGTATGTCACAAACTCCACAGTGTACACTGTATTATTTAAAAGAGGACTGCTTTAATTTTTATAAGTAGCATGGAACTGATCTGTTCAACAAAACTTAGTACCATTTCTTCTTTCCTTTACGTACAATTTTTGTGACTGGAGCAAATGAAATACCTTATCTCTGAGTCTCTTCAGGCTTGAGAGAAACTGGATATTCAAACTTCACTGGCAGCTTATTCTTATATTGAAAATTATGCACATTTGGATTGAAGTTACAAGCATTATAAAAAACTTATAATACCTAAAATGCTAATTTTCAGTGCTTCTTGTTGCCTTGGTAAACCTCACTTTTTTTTTTTGTTAAAGAAAGATACAACCAAGCTGCATACTCCAAGTACAAATTAGTCTGATAAATTTGGTTACATTTATTTTTCTGGATTTCTTCTCTGGATGATACATCAGACAAATAGAGGGAAGTGTATGCTCTCAAGTCACCTGAATAACATATCTTTGCAATACAGCCCTGAATAAATAGAAAGTTTAAAGCTCAAAAAGATATTAAATAGTATAGATAAAGATTTAATAACTTGTGTGTGTGTGTTTGTAGGAATAAAAAGGATTCACTAATGAAAAATATGATTAGCACTATCTCTACATTTGTAGTGCTCAGAATCACCTGGACCATAGGCTACCTCATGTTAATGAGCCATTAAAAATCAAGTCTTGTTTTCAGCTGTCTGTTTTGCATTTGAATGCTACCCCGGTAAAGTATTTAGCAATTCTGAGATTAATAATTGAGATAAAAAACCAGGTTTATTTGTTCTATAGCTTGGTATAGCAGGGGAACTTGTTGGAAAGCAGATACAGGGATTCAGAATTTCTGTTCAGAAAGGGATGCTATCCTTCTGGTCTGTCACACATAAAACTCTTCCCACTGTACAAATCAATGTGGGATTTTATTTCTAGGTCAGCACTGAAAAGACCATCCTGTCTGAGTGGCTTTTCTTATAGCAAATCATATACAAAATAATTTTCAGAAAGAATATCAGGGAAAAAACCTTCTGCATTAGTTGTTGGAAAGTAATCAACAGGGAAGTAACCAGAGCTTCATGGCTTGAGACATTTCAGAATGATGCTGGATAAAAGCCTACAGGAAAGTGCTTGCATCTTCTTTCCCTGCACAGCCCTGATGTGTTCTTGGATTTATATTCATATAAATATGCCCCTCCATATAAGGCGTATGAAGTACTTGGAGTAATGGATTCTTCATTACTACACCACTGGATATTTTCTACAAAACAGCTAATTGGAAATATGTGAAAATCTCCCCATCCCCAAACATTAATTTGTTTGTTATTGATCTACTGAAAACCAAGTGCCTGTACACAGTGATGACCAGATCTACAAATTATCTGTGCAAAAAGTCCTGAGGTGACTATTACTACTGTTGCCTTAAGAGACCGCAGGGAAAAAAGACTCCAGGCCAATTTAGTGTATAAGATAAGATAAAGAGAATAGGTCCTTTAATCTCAGGCCTGAGGCCCAGGGAATACACATGATGTGTGCCTTCAGACACTTGGTTCTATGATTTTATAATAAGGTCCATCCAACCCCAGTTCTGTCCACCCCCGGTTCTGCCCCCTGACACACCCCTTCGGGGTTAACAGGAGAGTACCTGGATGGAAGGAAGCATACACTGACTTGAGCATAACAGGTGTGCGAAGTACAAGCAGCTCTTCCCTCTTTGTGATTCTGAGAAAAGTGGTCAGGCCCCACTCTACTGGGCTCTTGTCTAACAAGAGTTAGACATCCCATTCTCACCCCATTCTCTCCTGTGTGAGAAAAAAGCCTGGGAAATTTAGACAGGCAGTTTTTAGAAACTGTATTTCTTTATTTTGCTCTCTGAACGAATATATTTACATGTTTTGTCATTGCTGGTTTTAATAAAACAAGAACAACATCCTGAGTTTTAAATAATCTGGTTTAAGAAGTGTGGTCAGATTTACCTTCCACTTTCATGTTTTTTGAAAATGAAATGAATGCCATGTATTTTGAAAACTTCCAATCTGCTCCAAAGAGAGTTGTGGGCATGATCAAATGTGAATGTCTGAACATTTTGGGCATCATACATGAGACTTGCTAAATATCTTCATAGAAGTGTTTCATCAGTCCTGAAAAGTTCCCCATTTCTTAGAAACCTGTGCTCTCTCTCTGAGGCAGAAAATAAGTGTTCTCTGGCACTAACAAGCCTCCAGAAACAATAGTCACATCAGATACGAGGTTGAAGTTCATCACTACTGCTCCAGAAAAAGCAGAAAAGTTTATTGAAAGTTATCTAGGAAAGGTAATTCGTACTATATTTTTGGACAGGAAGTTTATGTTTCTTTGGGCATCCCTTTTTATTTGTAAATCAAGTGTCTAAGTGCTTGCTTTTGTCAAGTCCTTCAATTTCACTGAAGAAAGGTATTTTAGAAATTTCTGTGGTTTAGGAAAGATGGTATTTGATTGTATTGTAAAACACAGTTAGGCACTGTAAGGATGGCTCCTTCAATGAAGGATAATGTTTTCTAATAATTGATATTTTTTCCCACAAACAAAAATATTCTCTAAAGCACATCCCATTAAATTTTGAACATGGCTCTTTTAAAAATCTAATAAAAATATTTTCTCCATATTATCCTGAAAAACAAGGAAAAAAACACAAGAAGAATTTGAAGTATTGAATGGGAAAAGTATTGACTTTTTTACTAATGAAATATCCCATGTGTAAGTATTTCAGATGTTAATAAAATGCTGTTACAGCCTACACTGACCATGTCTTGCCTAATATAAAATGTTTTCAGCATAAAAACTCACAGGAAAATACGTGTTTTATGTTTTTTTTTTTTCATCCAGGGAATCCTAATTTCAGAAATGGAACTAAGTAAAATAATCTTTTTCAGGTTATATACTTAATTGTTACCGGAACAATAGTTCAGCTCTTATCTACACATGGAATATATTTATCTTCATAATGTAGTGAACTTTGGTATTGTTTGTGATATGTGAGTGTTAAGGATCATGAATTTTCTTCTTCTTAACACTCTGGAAACACTGCTTTGATAAAGAAACGGATTGGAGGAGGACTGAATCATCAGTACAAAGGTATGAAATGTGAGCAGCAGAAAGTATAATGGATTGATAAGTCCAATTTTCCAGATCTTTCCTATATTTTCAATATATTTTTAAACCCAGAGGTTTTTTAATTGAAAATGCCAAAATTACATCTAAATATTTTCTAATAGTTAGCAAAGAAGCTTCCTGAACTGTGCCCCTCCTCCTCATTAAAAAGTTTTGAATTAAAAATGTGTATTGCGTTCTTTTTTCACCTTCATTTCAACGTGAATAACAACTGCTAACTGCAAGTTGGGATACTCCTCTAAGCAAATACAAAGCTCTCAGCAAGGACAAATACTTCTAAAATCAAACAACTCTGACATTTTTCTTGTCCAGCAGAAGTCACCATTTGGAAGCCTGGCTTTCCAAGCCACTGAAGGAAAAGGGTGTCTTCTTAAGGGCATCTTTAACTCCAGGAAATAACTAACCACAGTCGTGCTTTAGCTAGCTGTGCATAGGCACTTCTGTCACTTGTACTAGCACAGTGCAGCTTCACTGATAAATGAAGAAAGGCAGCAGAAATCTCAGACATCCAAGACTAACAGCAGGTCCAGCTCCAACAGCTCTGGGAGACGCACCTTAGGATTCCCTTCCTGCACCTCTGACAGACAAAACTCAGGGCTAAGTTTCATGTTTTCCTCTCTTAGGCGGACAACCTCCGCATGCAATGAATATGTGTGTGTGAATAGTAGCGAACGCCTGGAAGTGACTATTTGAGGATGAACAGGCTCCCGTGCGAGGGTGGAGGCGTCTGACAAGGACAGGAGAGTTTTACGGCACGTTTTGCTTTTCAGCACCGCCAGTCCTATGCGGGCCTAAGGCTCGTATTTCGAAACAACCCCTCCGGTAGAGGAAACCCGTACAGGGGCGGTGCTGAGGTGGCACCGCGGGAAATGACGGCGGCCGCCATATTGGCCGAGGGCCGCCATGTTGGCCCGAGGTGGGCGGAGCCTTGGGCGGCGGAGCGCGCAGGCGCGCGGCTCGCGCAGGCCCGGCCGTGGCTCCGACCCCTTCTCTCTGCCCTGCCACGTACGGGCGGCGGCGGCCGCGGCCGGGCCTGGGCTCGGACGGGGCTGCGCGGGGCGTTCCAGCGGCGGCACCGCGGAGAGGCCACAGTAAGAGAGCGGGGCTGCCCCCGAGTGTGGAGGCGGCGGGAGGGATGGAGGGAGGGGCGGCCGCGGGCTGGGGGTGAGCCCGCCCCCCGCCATCGTTCCCCGGGGCCGGGGGCGACCCGGCCCCTGGCGGAGGGGCCGGGAGACCCCTCGCGCGCCCCCGGCCACGGCTGAAGGCGGTGGGAGCCGCCCCGCGGCCTCCGCGGCCCGGGGAGTCCGGGATCCCTCCGTCCCTCCCTCCGCAGGGGCTGCTCCCTGGGTCACCAAGCCGCTTCCCTTTGAGGGCCAGGGGAGCCGCCGGTTCCTCGCTGCCCGGCAGGGAATGGCTGTGATTTCTGCTCCCCTTTTGGGAACTGGGGAAACCCGAAAAGAGCTCTTCTCCTTTCTGCTCCCCCGCCTCACCCCCCCCGCGCTGCCTCGGGAAAACTCGTGGCTCTCTCGGTTGGGGTTTGGGCGGCAGTACTGCTTGTCCTTGCTTCTGTTCCTTGCCCCTGTTTTTTCAAGCAAAGCAGGAATGCCTGTCCTCCCCTTTCCTAGGCAAGGTTGTTTTTCTCTACTGCTGTGCTGGAAGGATAGTGAAATAAAACATGGTTATGACATGCTAGTTTTAGAGGGGATCCTGGAGGGACTGGCTTAGGTTGGACAGTCCTTGTCCACATACACCGTCTGGATTCGTGCATGATGTGAATAGAAAGTGAGCCAGGAGGGGAGAAAAACTCTACTCTGGTACATCAGGAAGGTTAGAAAGATGTCAGTGTGATTCTTGAATCTTAAACGTGAAGACAAAATGTTTTGTTGATTTTTTTTCCCCACCCCCCCTCAGGAAAGTAGACACTGACTGATTCTGTTAAAAAGCTCATTAGTGTACATTCTGGATGTCTTCACTGAAAAACTCTCTCAATGGAGTCATCCATTCAGCTGTGTCACAGTGAGGAGAGGAAGCTTGAGTGCTGTGTAATTCAGTAATTTGAACATTTCACATAGTTTTCTGCAACAACTGCAAGCAGCTGAGGTGTTTAAAATCAGTCTCTTAAAACCTGGACACCTTCAAGCAGAATGGAGAACAGCTGGACAAAAAAAAGTGCAGTTAAATGCTTTCTTGCCACCTTTTCATAGTTGTTGATAGCAGATTTCTGTTAGTGAGGCTGGTAAATAAAGCATGTGCGGCTCATTCACCTGCACAAAGATGTGTTCAATCTATTGTGAAAGGCCACAGGAGCTCAGGTGTGTCCACCAAAACGTGTATCTTCAGGAATTACAGATGAGGTTCAGTTCTTACTGTTGACAGTTTCTAAGTAGCTTACACTATAATGCTGAAGAGGCAAAACCAGTGCCCAGCTCTGATGTTTAAACAACATGAGGCGGTAGCTAAATGAACTCTTAAGTTAAACCACTCGTAGATGCATTGTCTGTATCCCGTATTTGTCCATTACAGTAAATTTACCTGGAGCTGTAGCAAGTCTGGGGTGAAAGGGGCACTGTCT